TGCTCAAAAGCCTAAAAGCTTAACCAGCCTAGTTCCTCATCCTTATGCCATAAATACCTTTCTGCTTCCTGGGATTAAAGGCTCTTGTTACCACGCCTGGCTGTTTCCAGTATGGCTTTGAACTCACAGAGATCCATATGGATCCCTGCCTCTGGAATGCTAGGATTAAAGGTGTGTGTGCCACCATTTTCTATATCTAGTGGCTGTTCTGTTCTCTGACCCTAGATAAGTTTATTAGGGTGCACAATATTTTGGGGAACACAATATCACCACACAGAGGCCTTTTATATTTGATGGCTTCACTCAGAGATGGCAGTCTTTCTTATTGGTCTGATTCAATGTTCCCAATTGGATTTTACTGCACGGGGCACTGTTGTGGAGTATTACTTAAACTATGCAAAGGTGTGTTACATTTGTTTTTGCTGCATTTGTTTAATGATGTAAAGATGTGTTGCTTTGCCTGCCTAAGGCACCTGATTGGTCTAATAAAAAGCTGAATGGCCAATAGCTAGGCAGTAGAGGGATAGGTGGGGCTGGTGGGCAGAAAGAATAAGTAGGAGGAGGAATAGAGGCTTGAGAGAGGAGAGAGAATGAGAGAGAAAGAAAGGAAGACTCCTGGGGCCAGCCAGCCAGGCAGCCATCAAGTAACCAGACGTAGAAGAAGCAGGAAAAGTAGGACATATAGAATAAAAAAAGGTAAAAAGCCCTGGCAAAATGTAGATGAACAGAAACAGGTTAAGTTATAAGAGCTAGTAAGACAAGCCTAAGATAAGGCTGAGCATTCATAACTAATAAGAAGTCTCTGTGTCTTTATTTGGGAGCTGATTGGCAGCCCCAAAGAAAGCCTGTATAGGGCACTATACTTCCTTTTGCGTGTTTGGAAGGTTTGTTGTGCATTAATTGTTACTTGGGATGGGATGTTCTGGAATGACTCTAACTACAGTAACTACAGTGTTACTGACTTGGTAGGCCCTGAACCTCTCACTCTCTGGAAAACATGTTTATTATCACTGTTTATAATGGGCAACCTGATTCTTGGCCAGGCAAGGATGATATAATCAAGGTAATGGATTAATGCAGTATTTTAGGGCATCCAGATGGGTAAGAGCTCTTCAAAATATAAATATAATGAAGTAAAGAAGAATAAGAAACACTGGGGTAAATGAATTTTTTTTCCTGTAATCTCTTCCAGGTGAATTAAAGAAAACAGTTGCGGATTTTTCTTTTGATGGGGATGAAAAGTCTTCATTTCCCCGATACAGGGCTGTGCACAGTACAATAGATGCCGTGTTTCCCTGTGAAAGGAATCACACACATCTGACACTGACTACAGTTACAATAAGGCTACCACTTAATGCGGTTTGTGCTGGCATACTGTGCTTTATTTTGTCGTGTTTGAGACAAGGTCTCAGTGTAGCCCTGACTGGTCTGAAACTGGCTATGTAGATGACGCTGACTGCCCTGCCACTGACCGGCCCGCCGCTGACCAGCCTGCTGCTGACCACCCCACTGCTGACCACCCCGCCAACCTTCAAATTGCAATAGTGCTCCTGCTTCTGCTGCCCAAAGAGCTAGGATTCAGGTGGTCACCACCACATCCAGATCTCCTGTCATTTTCAATGATACACCTGAATAGAATGAACATTGCCATCCTTGTATGTTTTGAAGATACACAACACTGACATTAGTTTCCTCCTCCTCCACCACTGCTGCCTCAGCCTAAGATACTACTTTTGATTTATTATCTTGGCTATAGGGTAGAGACGTTTAAAGAATGCTATTTACCTTTTTTTTTCTGTAAGAGTTCCTACCCTACACACATTATGGGTGGTTGCATTTCTCTCCTAATAATAAATTCACAGACAAACCAAACAGCATAAAACTCACTGTGAGCTAACTTTACTCTGTTTAACTGCTCCTATATGTTCCCACTCTTCAGCTGCCTTAAATGCCAGGCATCATTGGTCATGCAGACCATGCCCAGCAAGTGTTGACATTCTTGTCTTCCCAGAGCACAGTTACTGAAGTTGAGGGAGCTATGCGCCTGTTGGAATGGTCTTAGCATGTACACCTGAACTGTACCTACCACAGGGCCTGCCCCCAGTGACATGGACTCTTCCAGGCGATGGTCACTGCACTGCACACTGAACAAGACCTCCAGACTTGCTTATCATTGGACCTACTGTCCTTTGGTTCCTCAGGCTGGTTTCTTTCTTTTTTCCTTTGGAGCAATTGACTTTAATGGTAAATTTCAAATGAGGAACTTTTTGGTGAGCTATTTCATTAGTTTCACTTGGTATAAGTCACCATTTCTTACATACATCTAAAATCCATTCCATCAGTAAATTAACCCCAGATCCTGGACTCTTGATTTTAATAGTCTATTTAAATCAGTAGCTCCCTTTTTATAATCACAAAGATCCCTTGATGAGGCACTCTCAATATTCAGCACCACATTCATCAAAATAGAACACATACTGGCCCATAAAAGGAAAGTTAAAAAAAATTAATAGACCTTTCTGCGCTACTCCGGGATGGGTCCATACGGCATTATTCTTGATTTCTGTTGTAACTTAAAGGGAAACTTACACAATGTCCAGAGCCCTTGATGTCCTGCAGATGAAGGAGGAGGATGTCCTCAAATTCCTTGCTGCAGGAACCCACTTAGGTGGCACCAACCTTGACTTTCAGATGGAGCAGTACATCTACAAAAGAAAAAGCGATGGCATCTACATCATTATCCTGAAGAGGACCTGGGAGACGCTGCTGCTTGCAACCCGTGCTATTGTTGCCATTGAGACACCTGCTGATGTCAGCGTCATCTCCTCCAGGAACACTGGGGCAGAGAGCTGTGCTAAAGTTTGCTCCCGCCACTGGAGCCACTCCAATTGCTGGCCGCTTCACCCTGTGACCTTCACTAACCAGATCCAAGCAGCCTTCAGGGAGCCGCGGCTTCTAGTGGTGACTGATCCCAGAACTGACCACCAGCTCCTCACAGAGGCATCTTATGTCAACCTGCCCACCATTGCGCTGTGTAACACAGACTCCTCTACTCTATGTGGGCATTGCCATCCCATGCAGCAATAAGGGAGCTCACTCAGTGGGTCTGATGTGGTGGATGCTGGCCCGGGAAGTACTCCGCATGCGTGGCTCTATCTCCCGTGAGCATCCATGGGAAGTTATGACTGATCTTTACTTCTAAAGAGACCGAGGGGAGATTGAGAAGGAGGAACAGGCCGCTGCTGAGAAGGCTGTGAGCAAGGAGGAATTCCAGGGCGAATGGACTGCACCAGCTCCTGAGTTCACTGCTGCTCAGCCAGAGGTGGCAGACTGGTCCGAGGGTGTGCCCTCTGTACCCATCCAGCAGTTCCCTACTGAAGACTGGAGTGCCCAACCACTGAGGACTGGTCAGCAGCTCCACAGCGCAGGCCACCTAGTGGGTTGGAGCCACCACTGAATGGTCCTGAGCTCCTCTGCAGACACCTGAGCAAAGGGAAAAAGGTGGAAGGAAAATAAAGTTCCTACAAGCTAGAAAAAAAAAGAGAGAGAGAGAGAGGAAGGGTTTATTTGGTGATCACAGGGGAAGGCAAAGAAGGAACTGGAAGCAGCTAGTTCGCACCCACAGTCAAGAGCAGAGAGGCACGAAATGTGTGCCCCTTTGCTGCGCTCAGCCCTTCTTCTTGTACAACCCAGGACCAAGGCCCAGGACAATCCAGCATTTACATCCCAGGGAATGTGCTTTCCTTAGGGGGGGTGGGGGGGTGGAGGGGTGTTCTTCCCACCTCAAAGTAGTCAAGACAATCCTCCACTCACATGCCCACGGGCCAACTTAATTAGACACCCCTGTGACAACCTCCTGACAATTCCAAGTAACCATCAGAAGAGGATGGTGTGTACCTTTGATCCCAGCACACGGGAAGCAAAGGAAGGTAGATCTATGGGATCTGAGGCCAGGCTGGTCTACAGAGCAAGTTCTAGGCCAGCCAGGGCTCCACAGTGAGACCCTGTCTAAGAAAACAGTAACCATCACAACTGTACCCCTTGTCAACATCACAGATGTGTCACTTTAAGCCACAACTTTCCACCCCTTGTTCCCAAAGTCTTATGTTTACCTCATAAACTATAGTTCAGCTTGTCAAGTCTCCTTAGTGTCTTAGTTAGGGTTTCTATTGCTGTGCTAAGTCACCATGACCAAAAGCAACTGGAGGAAAGAGTTATTCGGCTTACACTTCTATGTCACTGTTTATCA